AGCACTTTGGGGGGCCACGAAACGTGTGAGGGGTGTGCCGAAACGGATTTGGTGGCACCATGCGGGCGCTGCCACTGGGGTCTTCGATGAAGCTCCCTGTGGGGCCACGAAACGTGCAAGGGGTGTGCCGAAACGGGTGCGGTGGTGCCATGCGGGCGCTGCCACTGGGAACTTCGATGGAGCTCGAAACGTGCAAGGGGTGTGCCGAGACGGGCGCGGTGGTGCCATGCGGGCGCTGCCAATGGGAACTTCGATGGAGCTCGAAACGTGTGAGGGGTGTGCCGAAACGGGCGCGGTGGTGCCATGCGGGCGCTGCTACTGGGCATTCCGTTGAGCTCCTGATGGGGTCACGAAATGTATGAGGGTGTGTCGAAACGGGCGCGGTGGTACCATGCGGGCCCTGTCACTGGGGCCTTCGCTGAGCTCGGGCCACGAAACGTGTGAGAGGTGTGCCGAAACGGGTGTGGTGGTGCCATGCGGGCGCTGCCACTGGGGACTTTGATGGAGCTCCCTATGGGGTCACGAAACGTATGAGGGGTGTGCCGAAACGGGTGCGGTGGTGCCATGCGGGCGCTGCCACTGGGCATTCTGTTGAGCTCCCTATGGGGTCCCGAAACGTGTGAGAGGTGTGCCGAAACGGGTGCGGTGGTGCCATGCGGGCGCTGCCACTGGAGCCTAGGTGAAGCTCCCTATGGGGTCCCGAAACGTGTGAGGGGTGTGTCAAAACGGGCGCGGTGGTGCCATGCGGGCGCTGCCACTGGGGTCTCGGTGGAGCCCCCTTTGGGGCCACGATACGTGTGAGGGGTGTGCCGAAGCAGAGACATGCGGTCGCAGGCGATGTGGCAGGAGGGGAGGAGGAGGAGGAGGAGGAGGAGGAGGAGGAGGAGGAGGAGGAGGAGGAGGAGGAGGAGGAGGAGGAGGAGAGAGGAGAGGAGAGGAGAGGAGAGGAGGACGCGCGGCGACGTCTCTTCGAAACGACGACCCAACACCACAGGATCGTTGGAAAATAAGCGTCGGGCGCATAAGGGCGCTGCCACTGGGGCCTTCGGTGGAGCTCCCGATACAGCCACGAACCGTGTGAGGGATGTGCTAGAATGAGCGTCTAGCGCATGCAAGCCCGGCCACTGGTGTCTTCGGTGGAGCTCCCTATGGGGCCACGAACCGTGTCAGGGGTGTGCTGAAATGGGCGTCGAGCGCATGCGGACCCTGCCACTGGGGCCGTCGGTGGAGCTCCCTATGGGGCCACGAACCGCGTCAGGAGTGTGCCAAATTGGGCGTCGGGCGCATGCGGACCCTGCCACTAGGGCCTTCGGTGGAGCTCCCTTTGGGGCCACGAACCCTGTGAGGGGTGTGTCAAAATGGGCGTCCAGCGCATGCGGACCCTGCCACTGGGGCCTTCGGTGGAGCTCCCTATCAAGCCACGAACCGTGTCAGGGACGTGCCGAAATAGTGTACATGCGAAGCGCAGAGGCACGATGTTGACGATGGAGCTCCAAATGGGGCCACGAACCGTGTGAGGGGTGTGCCAAAGCAGAGACACGCGGACGGCAGAGGCAGGGATGGGAGGAGAGAGGAGTGGGAGGTGAAGGCTGTTTCACGATGCTGGCATTGGTGATCATGATGATGGTGATGATGATGATGATGACGACGATGATGGTGATGATGACAACGACGACGACGACGACGATGGTGATGGTGATGGTGATGGTGATGGTGATGGTGATGGTGATGGTGATGGTGATGATGATGATGATGATGATGATGATGATGATGATGATGATGATGTTGATGACGACGGTGATGCTGATGATGCTGATATCATGATGATGGTGGTGGTGGTGATGCTGATGATGATGATGATGATGGGGATGACAATGATGATGAGGATGAAGATGAGGATGCGGATGCGGGTGTGGATGATGATAATGATGATGATGATAATGATGATGATGATGATGATGATGATGATGATGATGATGATGGTGGTGGTGGTGGTAGTGGTGATGATGATGATGCTGATGAAACTGATGATGGCGACAACGACGACGCTGATGAGGATGATGAGGATGAGGATGATAATGAGGATGATGAGGATGATGGGGATGATGGTGAAGCTGATGCTGATGTTGATGATGATGACGATGCTGATGTTGATGACGATGATGATGATGATGATGATGATGATGATGATGATGATGATGATGATGGTGATGATGATGATGATTATGATTATGATGATAATGGTGGTGGTGATGATGATCATGATGGCGGCACGCGGAGATGGCGGCACGCGGAGAGCAGAGGCAGGTATGGGAGGAGGGAGTAGGGGGAGGAGGAGAGGAGAGAAGGCAAGGAGGAGAGGACGCGGCGCGCTGTCTCTTCCAAACGAGGACCCAACACCACAGGATGGCAAGGGAAAAATGCAGTGCTGGGGTTTCTGGGATGGCCCTCGGCGCCGCCTCCCCCTGCCCATCCACGGCACGATGCGCGTGCCGCATGCCGCCGCAGGACCAACCCGTGGGCCCAGCCGCCCTCCGGCGCGCCCACGGCGGGCCTCCGCGCCTCCACCGTGACGACCGAGGATCGGCCCGTGCATTGGGCTCGCGGATGGGCTCGTCCGCGACGGGCCCCGAGCTCCGATCGGGTCGGGCGAAAGGGGAGGATAGCAAAGGGGGGGGTGCGAGAACCAGCTCACGCAGCTGATGTTCCCCGCGCCTCCCTGCGCCAGAGGCGGCCACGTATCGAGGAATGGGCCCCTCGGTGGGGCCGATTCCCCCCCTTTCCCCCCTTCCCCAATCCCTCTCCCTTCCCGATCCCCCCCTTTCCCAATCCCTCTCCCTTCCCGATCCCTTTCCTTTCCCAATCCATTTCCGTTCCCGATCCCTCTCCTTCCCCAGTGCAGCAAATCTCGTACCCCCCCCCCTTTCCCGATCCCTCTCCCTTCCCGATCCCTTTCCTTTCCCCATCCCTTTCCCTTCCCGATCCCTCTCCTTCCCCAGTGCAGCAAATCTCGTACCCCCCCCCCCTTCCCCAGGCCCCCCCCCCTTCGCAAGGGCTCCTAAGTTCGCGCTTCGCGCTCCGCGAAGCGCGAAGCGCGAATAACTTCGCGCTCTCGCGCCGCCCCCCCAAAGGGAGAAAAGGAGGACGAGGAGGAGGAGGAGAAGGAACGAGGACCGCGAAGCGCGAAGCTCGAATAACTTCGCGCCCTCGAGGGAGCCCTTGCTTCGCCGGCCCCGAGCTCCGAGGCGCGGCGGCTCCCGACGCCGGGCGCCCTCGCCCGGGCCTCGCCCGGGCCTCGGGCCTCGGGGCCGTCGTCGCGGCGCGCCCCCCCGGCGCGGAGGAGCGCGGCGCGGAGGGACGGGGCCCCCGGGCGGCCCGGGGCTCCGCTCGCCGCTCTCCTCGCCACCTGGGGGGGGCCACACGCGCACCCTACCCCTACCTGACTACCTACCAGACCACCCCAACCCAACCCGAAGACCTGAATTTCGGGCTGGGGGGGGTATGGGTTCCATACGTGTCTTTTCGATGTTTCCCGAACCCCCCCCCCACTGGAAATCGAGGGCAAATCTGAGCCTTCGGGTTGGGTTGGGGTGGTTTGGTGGGTGGTGACTACCCCCCCCCATTTCGGAGGGGGAGCGGGGGGGTCCCTTCGCTCGAGAGCTCCCGAGCGAAGGGAACCCCGCCCTCCCCCTCCGAAGTGGTGGGGGGTAGGGGTATAGGGTTCGGGCTCGCGTGTGGTCCCCCAGCCAGGCGGCCCAGCCGGGACAGCGCCCGGCCACCGGCGGACGGGAAGCGGATTTTCGCTCCTGCTTCGGCCTCGCGCGACAGGAGGAACACGCGCAGCTTCGCCTCGCCCGCACGCACGGCACGAAGACGAGACCGAAACCGGTTTCCGGGTGGGGGGTCTCCGTTTCACTGCGATCTCGCCCCCCAACCTCCGATCGCAATGCGGGATCTCAGGGGGCACGTCGGCGAGGCCTGGCAGGGCGCGAGCCGGGCATCCGCTCTGGCACACGCAGCCGCAGTCCTCTCCTCGGCTCTGCTCCCTGGCCTCTCCCTCTGGCACCCTCTTGCGGGAGGTGCGCCCCGCCTGTCATCAGGGGAGTTCGGGCGTCGCTTTAATGGGGGGGGCGACACATGGAGGGGGGAGAAAGGTGCACTCGCTCGGGCCCTGAAAACCCCCTTCTGGGCCCTGAAGGGCACCTCCAGGGGCCGCAACGGGCCCCGTCTCTGCAGCCCTCGTTGCCCCCCACCCCCCCATTTATCGCCCCCTCCATGACGCGACGCCCCAGTGGAGAGTCAGAAGAGGGGCCTGGGTGGGAAGGGAACCGCAGGACGCCAGAGGAGGTCGACACGGGCACACAGGACACGCCGCAGGCCGAGAGAAGAGCTCACGAGAAGCCCGCGCAGCCGCAGGCCAGGGAAGGAAGGCCCACGTTCGCGCCCTCACGGGACAACCGCAGGCTCTTCTAGTCTGCCAGAGTCCGCTGGGCGGCGGCGAGTCGGCGGCGCCCCCGGCGCGGGCCTCCTTCTCGTACTTCGACACGAGGGCGGTGAACTCGGACATCAGGCTCTCCGACGACAGGTATCCCGCACAGTCGAAGTAGCTGGCGATGCTCCCCTTCGCCGTTACCTGGGGGGGGCGCACGCGGCAGCGCCGCCAAGGAAGCACCCGGCGGAGAAAACACAAACGCCACAACGGCACCACCATCCGCAAGGCCAGCCTTGACATCATCATGACGTCCGCCGACAGCCCGTCACCAATGTAAGCATTGCTGACATCAAAATTAGCATCACAACCAGCATCAACCTCAATATCACCCTCAAAGATGGACTCACAATGGCAGTGTTGCCCAAAACAGCCGTGAATGCCTGGCCACACCAGAACGTGCTGCACGTCGTCGCAGTGTTCATCGTCGGGCTGCTGGTGGCCGGTGTGCTGCTCGGCTCGTTGCTGCTGCTACCCCTCGTGCATTTGATGGTTGCATGGCGGTCGCCGCCATTCTGCGGCGTGCTGAAAGCACTGGTGCTGCCATTCGCATTCCAGCTGCTGCTGGTCGCTGGCATGCTGATGGAGCAGGCGTTTATGGTCTCAGTCGTGCTGGTGAGGCTCTTGGTGCTGCTCTCGCTATCGTTGGTGTTGCTGCGCGTGGCGTCGCTGGTCCCGATCGTGCTGGACACGGTGGAGCTGTTGCTCTCGCAGATGCTGCTGGACTGGCAGGTGCTGACGAGAGTGGTGATGGTCGATCCCCCAGTACCGCCGCAAGTGGCATTGCGGGCCGGGCCCGTGCTGTTCGCACTGCAGTGCTTGTTGCACTCGATCCGCTCGACTGCGTGGACTATTCACCAGTGGTGTCGCTGCTGACGCCATGGTGGGTGCTACTATTTCCTGGCCAGCGTGCGAGTCTGTCTCGTACCGCCTGTCGCTCACGACGCGTCGCGTGGTGCTGCCCGTCCCCAGCCGTGCCGAGAAGCTTAACGTTGCTGCTGCCTCTCCTCTTGCTCACCTTACGTACTGGTCGCGGCGTCGCTGCTGGAAGCCATCGTGCTGGAGCTGCTGCGCGTACTGATTGACCAATCTCCTGTCGAGCGTCTGCTGCCACCCTCACTCTCGCTGCTGAAGCTCCACCTGCCCCGCCCTCGCTGTCGCTGCTGCTGGCTCCGCGGATGTTGCTGCCGCTTGCGGTACGGCAGCCGTGCTGGACGCAGTGGTGGTGGTGGTGCTCTCGCTGTTGCCAGTCGTGCCAGAGCTGGTGAGAGTGGTGCTGATCAGCTCGCCGATGCTGCGCAGCTCCCGCCAGCGCCGGTCGATGCTGGGTGCAGCACCTGAAGCAACCAGTTACGTGCGAGTCCATGAACCCAGCGCGACCCCATTTGAGGGAAAGCTTCTTATGCAAGTGCAGCAAGGAAGGCATTGTTTTGCATTGCTTCGCTTTGATTGGCGTTACTTGGAAGTGTTCTGGATTGCTTAGTACTGCTTAGCCTTGCCTTGCGCTGCTTGGTACTACTAGGCATCACTTGGCATTGCCTCGCATTGCTCTGCATTTCTGAACATTGTCAAGCTTTGCTATACCGCGGTTTACATTGCATTGCTTGGCATTGCTTGGCATTGCGTGGCATTGAGTGGCATGGATTGACATTGCCTAGCATTGAGTGGCATGGATCGACATTGCTAGGCAATGCTTGGAATTGAGTGGCATTGTTCAACGTTACTTAGCGTTGAATAGCAAGGTTTGGCATTGCTTGGCATGGGTTGGCATGGATTGGCATTGCTTGGCATTGATTGTCATTGCCTGTCAGTGCTTGTTATTGCTGGGCATTGCCCGGCATTGTTTGGAGTTGCTTGGCGGTGCTTGGCATTGATTTGCAGTGCTTTGCATTGCTGGACGGTGTTTGGTTTTGCTCGGCATTGTTTGGCATTGCCTGGTATTGTTTCGCAGTGCATTGCTTTGATTTGCGCTATGTTGCGTTGCTTGGCATTGCTTTGCGTTGTTCGAGAAACCCGGGCAAGGCCTCTACACGTAGAAAACAAACCCAGATAACCTGGAGAACTCGGGCAAGGCCGCCCCGCGCAAGACCACGACCCGCTGGTTGTTCAAAACAAATACGGACCCTTACGCCAGTTGAACTGGACAAAACAAAAAAAAAAAAAAAAAAAACGGCCGCTTGCGCCAGGGTTGGCACCAAAGGGGCCGCTAACCAGTATGCTGGTCAACGTCGTGATGCCTCTCGTTGGCACTGCGTCGCGTGGCGCTGGCCAGCAAGAGCGCCCACGACACACACACACAAACAGACCGGCCGAAGAAACCCCTCATATGGCCCAATATGCCCACACTGAGCACAATGCGCTCCCGACGTCGCACTTCGGAAAGCCCCACGTTTCCCCAAGCGGTCCCCCAAGGACCTTCCCGCGCCCCACCCCACGAGTCAACGCGCGTTGTCTTGTCAACGTCTCCGCAGCGGCCGTGGCTTCGTCGTGGGCGGCACTTGTCTCCCTTGCCTGTCTGATTTCGGGCGCGTTGCCTTTGCCACATCCGTCTTCCCCTTGCTCTTTCTCTCTCGCTCTCTCTCTCTCTCTCTCGTTCTCTCTCTCTCTCTCTCTCTCTTTCTTTATCTCTCTCTCTCTCTTTCTCTCTTTCTCTCTCTCTCTCTCTCTCTATCTATCTATCTATCGATCTATCTATCTATCTATCTATCTATCTATCTATCTATCTATCTATATATCCCTCTATGTATGTATATATAGCACCCCGCAATTGCGGATAAGAGTGAGGGGGCGGGCGCGGGCGACGCGGGCGTCGTCAAGCCGGCGGACCTCGTGGCCCCCACCTTCCTTGTCGATGGCGCTCTCCTCCTCCTCCTCCTTCTCCTCCTCCTCCTCCTCCTCTTCCTCCTCCTCCTCCGCCTCCTACTCCTCCTCCTCTTCCTCGTCCTCGTCCTCGTTCTCATCGTCATCGTCGTCCTCCTCCTCCACCTCGTCCTCCTCCTCCTCCTCCGCTTCTTCCTCGTCCTCCCTCTCCCCCCCTCGTCCTTCCATCATCGTCCTCCCATTGTCGTCATGTTCCTCCTCGTCGTCCTCCTCCTCTTCCCCCCCTCCCGATCCTCCACCCTCCTCCTTTTCGTCGTCGTCGTCGTCGACGTCATCGTCGTCGTCCCCTCCCTCCTCCTCCTCCTCCTCCTGCTGCTCCTTCCTCCTCCTCCTCCTCCTCTCCTCCTCCTCCTCCTCCTCCTCCTCCTCCTCCTCCTCCTCCTCCTCCTCCTCCTCCTCCTCCTCCTCCTCCCCCTCCTCGTCCTCCTGCAAAAGCAGCCCGCCGCAGGCGCCGAAAAAATTGGTTTGTACACTGAACGTGGTTTGGGTCGCGGGTGGGCCGCGGGTTCTCCACCGGGAACGAATGCAAAAGATGCTCGCCGCAGGCGCCGAAAAAAATAGTTTGTACCGTGAACGTGGTCGCGGGTGGGCCGCGGTCTCCCCAGAACGATTCAAAAGATGCCCGCCGCAGGCGCCGAAAAATGTGGTTTGTACCCTGAACGTGGTTTGGGTCGCGGGTTGGTCGCGAGTTGATCGCGGGGTGGGTCGCGGGCTCTCCACCTGGAAGGAATGCAAAAAAAGCCCGCCGCAGGCGCCGAAAATGTTGGTTTGTACCTTGAACGTGGTTTGGGTCGAAGGTGGGTCGCGGGTGGGTCGCGGGGTGAGTCGCGGGTGGGTCGCGGGCGGGTCGCGGGTGGGTCGCGGGCGGGTCGCGGGGTGGGTCGCGGGGTGGGCCGCGGGCGGGTCGCGGGGTGGGTCGCGGGTGGGTCGCGGGTGGGTCGCGGGGTGGGCCGCGGGGTGGGTCGCGGGGTGGGTCGCGGGTGGGTCGCGGGTGGGTCGCAGGGTGGGTCGCAGGGTGGGTCGGGGTGGGTCGCGGGGTGGGTCGCGGGGTGGGTCGCGGGTGGGTCGCGGGTGGGTCGCGGGTGGGTCGCGGGTGGGTCGCGGGGTGGGTCGCGGGTGGGTCGCGGGGCGGGTTGCGGGTGGGACGACGACAAACAACAACAACAACAAACAACAACAACAACAACAACAACAACAACAACAACAACAACAACAACAACAACAACAACAACAACAACAACAACAATTACTAGCACGTGGGGACACTCCGTTCTCACCAGTGCCAGGGTTTTCATAGGAGGCGGGCAATACCCCCACTTTGTGGGGGGGCCGGTTCAAGCTCTACCAAATTTCCAAACGACTCTTCGCCACCACCCACACCCAGCTTCCCGCCCTATGACGTTCGGACACTTCACTTCGTGGCATGCGGACGACCGTGGCTACTATTCAGGGCCCCGCGGCCGACGACGACGGCGTGCGCGCGCGAAGAAAAAACGAATGTGTCCCGCATGGTATTATTTGACAGGGATGATGGCCCTAACAGGTGCGCAACCGTTGTTGGAGAAGTTCGAAGCACATGAAAAAGTGGCTCGCAAAAGCCCGTTTGACAGAAATGTTTAAAAAGTGTTGGGTTTCCTACAAATCCGCAAGAGCGCGCGGGATGAAATGTTGACATTTTTTTTTGGAAAAACCATTGGTTTTTTGATGTTTTTATATTAAAATCGCTACGAACACTAAGGTTTTGGAAGGATTTCGTCTTGCGCGCGCGAATGTCCACTTTACCTTATTGTTTGCAAGGGATTCTTGAAGTTTGGTTATGTTAGAACAAGAAATGTCCACTTTGCCTTATTTCTTGCAAGGGAAAACCGATCGTAACAAGACAACCGGATCTGGATGACATCGTTTTGCCTGAGACTTCCTCACGAAAATGATGAAAATGAGGCTGCGGCCTAGGCGCGGCGGGGGGGCCATGCACCAGGGGCCCCAACAATAATTATTATTTAGAAGTAATAATGTTCAACAACAACAACAACAACAACAACAACAACAACAACAACAACAACAACAACAACAACCAACAACAACCAACAACAACCAACAACAACCAACAACAACAACAACAACAACAACAACAACAACAACAACAACAACAACAACAACAACAACAACAACAGCACGAATCCGCACCGCGGAATCTCACTTCAGCCACGCACCCAGGGACAATGAATGACCTTTTCGGCCCCCTCACTCTGATTTCTCTCTCTCTCTCTCTTTTTTTTCTCTCTCTCTCTCTCTCTCTCTCTCTCTCTCTCTCATTCTTTGTTCCGCTCCCTTTCTCTGTCCTCTCCCCCTCTGTCGAGCCACCCTCTGCGCCGCAGCGGGGGGGGGGGCGAGGCCCCGCCGCTGGGGCGCAGTGTTCGGTCCGCGGGGGCGCGGCAGCCTCACGCCGCCAGCCCGCACCTCAGGACGGCGAGCACCCGCCCGCCGCACGGCCGTCGGCCGTCGGGACCGCGCACACCTCAAGCTGGCGACGCCACAGGGGCCAGGCGCACGGCCCAAAGCGCCCAGCGGCCGCAGGCAGTCCTCCGCCGCCTCCGCCTCCGCCTCCGCCTCCGCCTCCGCCTCCGCCGC